GCATCTCAAGGCATAATAAGTTAAGTCATCCACAGTGGATGGGGACTGAACCGGAGCAGAATTTCCCTTGCGCGGGAAAACTTCGTTTTTTGTGTTATGTGTTGCCAACAAGGGAATAAAAAGACATATATGCATACTGAATGCAATACATGAATATACACAAACCTTGTGTAAGCGACCAAGATTCCTCAGTGACAAGTGTTCAGCTCACCTGAACCATCTCCCCCTCACACGAAGAAATGGCAGTGATCCGGTCGTAGTCCTGCTCATGGAAGCGGACAGTCTTGGTGTTGTCGAAGATGGACATGAGGTGCGCCTGGATGGTGTGCGAGTCCGAAGCCTGGCCCAGAATCTCGAGCAGGGCCGGGTCAGACACGAAGAAAAAGCGGGGACTGAGGCGCTTTCTTTTCTACAGGTACCCTGACAGGCTCTTTTGACAGAGCTCCAGCTGGTCCTGCAGGTACGGCAGCAGCTGCTTCAGCATGTCATCCCCGACACAGCAAGCCACCACGTTGGGGTTGTCGTGAGCGCGAACCATGATCTTTTGCCAGCTCTTGTCAATGACGTAGAATCTGCAGCACAAAAGAGTCACCGTATATAATGTTCACGTTACATCCTTCAATGTTGCACTGAAACTTAGCATAAATGTACAAGATTTCACGCTTAAAACTATGAACTATACTCATTTCTTCTCGAAAGAAGTGTTAAGCAAATGAGTTATGATCTCGAGTGTGAAGCTCGAAGTTCTCGCAAATGAGGATGCGACGTGCTAATGCGCCTAGATATATCGAAAGAAGTGTTAAGCAAATGAGTTATGATCTCGACTGTAACTTTATATATTTTATAACAGTACCGATTATTATAAAATATATAAAAAATATATAATTATTAGTTGACCGAATAGACAATGCATGCGAAAAATTAACAGCATTTCTTTTCCACTGTACAGACAAGTTATTCCTGAACACATTGATAATCATCTTGCAACTTAAGTTTATTAAAACATGTCCTGAATCAAATATTTCATATTTTAGATAAAAAAGTGATAATCGGATGCTCGCCATATTTTTTACGCTCTCTTCATTGGTATTCAGAAGTTTCCGCACTCATACCTTTTGGCTTCCTTGGGAAGCTGCTTTGCGATGTCTCCGCCGACGAACACAGCTTCGAGATAAACCCACAGATTCTGAACGAACAACCACCGTTCCAGAATTTCATTGGTGTTGGACAGATCGCTCACCCACTTCTGGATCTGCTTTCGGAACGGAGCGTTGTACCTGCGGACGGAGAGATTCATTGTGGCGTTCGAATGAAGAAAACAAATGAAGAAAAAAAAAAAAGAAAATAAAAAAGAAAACAAAATAACCCCTGCAATCGTCACGTCCCAAAACAGATGAGAAAGGGAGGAGGCACCTGTTGGACAAGAGCGACCCCAGCACCATGAGCGAGTCCTCGAGCTGCGTTATGACCTCGGCGGTCGTGTCGCCTCGGAGCAGCAGTTCGCCGCGGTTCTTGAAGGTGGAGAAGGTCAGGTCGTGGCTCGCCCACTCGTTCGTCACGATCCGCAGCTTGGCCTCGATGTCCTTCTCCTTCACGGCCGAGATGCAGATGTCCTGGAAAGGGAAGGTCGGATTTTCATTTTTCAAGTGCACTTTACCTTTTACAAAGGGGAAACGTTGGAAGGCAGCGCGCACGTGTGAGTGAATATGTGTTGCTTCTAACCAACATTGTTCAAGGCGTCCACTGAGCTAGCTTTTCCTTACCTCTATATCTTCCTTGAACTGCAGGAGTGGCGAGTCCATGATGTTCCTGAGGCAAAAGTTCTCGCTGTCCACGTCGAGGGGCTTGTTGATGACCTCCGCGATGCGCTGCCAGTGGCGGGGCTTCATGGCCTTATTGGACATGAGTTCCAGGAGCGGACACATGTCGTTGAAGTCGTCGATCGTCTTCTTGAGGGCGTTGAAGGCCGGCCATTCCTTTAGGCCTTTAGGCAGTTTGCGACATCTGGAATCGTGGAGTTACTTTCTGAGAAGAATTTTTTTTAAAGTAGCTGATTGATTATCATACATCAGCCCTCGTGCTGTTTCAGCATGTGATAAACGATGTACTCGTTTTATTTTTGTCTAGCAACTCACTTTGGATTTAATATGTTATTAAAAGGTCAACACTTTAGACGAAAATAAGCTACATGCCTTTTGCTTGAAGAAAATGAATAAAGCATGCGGCACTCAGTCGGCACAGCCCAAAGGCCCAGCCTCACCTGTTTTGGAATTCCATCAACTCGTTGTTAATCTCCTCGATGTTGACTTCACTCCACGGAATTTCATAGTAGGACGAGACGCGGTCAATAACATCATTATACAATTTGTAAAGCTTCTGGAGCAGGTTAAGCTCCTTGCGAATCTGGCCCAGCTCGGGGAACTCGGATCGCGGGAGGCGGAACAGCTCCTCGCCCACCGAGTAGCTCGAGTGCTTTCGCCACAGAGTATCGAAGCGATTCTGTTGGAGTAATCATTAGTCTGTATAATGATAATGGCTTATGGGTCCAAGGGAATTGATAGCACTCCTTTGATGAAACCACTTCATCCTAATTGCTCACATTAGTAAGGCAATGAACCTGCTGCATAAAGTCTATGGTATCCATTTCCGAGTTTCATTTAGTTATCGAGTTCAGGAGCTTGCCAATTGCTATAAAGATAACAAGACGTCAGACAATCTTATTCAGTTTCTTAAAGCCAATAAAGAATTCAGAGAACTAAAAACTGAGATTCGTAGTAAACACTGGGAACAATTTTTGCAAAGCATCAATAGTCAAACTTCCATGGCTGATGTATGGAAAAAGATTAATAGGCTGACAGGTAAAGCTCCCACAACACCGCAGTTTCACAGCCCACAAGAACAGGCTAATATGCTACTGGAGCAGTGGGCTGAAAACTCTCAGCTGAGCTCACTTCCACAAGGGATAAAAGACCATCTCGACAAGTCAAAAATAGATAGGAAATTCAATATAGCAGTAGCCTGTGCTGCTATTGACCCATCCGACTTTGCCGAAATAACCGAGTGGGAACTGAGAAATGCCCTTGTGAAAGGCAAGGCAACAGCCCCTGGCGAGGATGGCATTACTTACAGTGTTCTTCGCCTCATTGCGCAGGTGCCAGGCAACCCACTCTTACACCTGTATAGACTCAGCCTATCACAAGGAATCCTCCCAAGCTCCTGGACTAAAAGTTTAATCATCCCTATACCCAAATCCAACACTGACAAATACAGACCAATTTCCTTGACCTCCTGTCTGTGCAAAGTACTTGAGAGAATAATTCTGAACAGACTCATGTACCGTATACATGCTAAGTTATCCCCCAGACTGTATGGATTTCTCCCAGGATGTAGCAGTCAGCATTGTTTTGCAGAATACTTAACAAACTCAATACCAGGCATGCAAACCGTATTTCTTGATCTTCAATCTGCCTTTGATATTGCAAACAGAGAGATGATCCTTGAGCAACTAGCTAGCTTTGGTATTCAGGGAAAACTGTTAACATGGATTCAAATGTATCTATCCAATCGATCGGCTCAGGTTTTCTTCAGGGGTGTTAAGAGTACTCATGCAAAAGTGTTTGAACTCGGCACACCTCAGGGAGGCGTACTTAGTCCCATGCTATTTAACATCCTAATGCATAGATTACTAGGCGATATACCACTTGAGGGCAGTGACTCCATTATTTGCTATGCCGATGACATTTGCATTAAATCCTCATCCGAGGAGAGAATGCAACAGATCCTTGATGTGCTTTCAGCAAGGGCTACAGAGTGTGGCTTGATAATATCGACTGAAAAAACCAAGGCACTTAACCCTAAAACAATCCCTCTGCCAAGGTTTCACATCAATGACGTTGAGCTAGATCTCAATACAAGTATCTCGGGGTGGCTGTTAATGATGCAGAGTTCATGCAAAACCTGAAGAAAAGGCTGTGGGAACGTCTGAAGCCACTTAGGACACTTGTCGGCAAAGACCATGGTATTAATGTCAATATTGCTAGACTCTTTTACCCGTCATACATACGGTCGGTCATAGATTATCATGCATTGCACCTAGTATTATACAAGGAATCAGAGTTGGCTAGTTTAGAAATTGTACAAAATGAGGCCATGAGGCTTATTCTCGGCGCCCCTAAGACAACGAGGATTGTGAATATGAGATCAGAACTTAATTTGCCGTCTGTCTATGAAAGAATATTATACATAAACACCACATTTAGCGTCAAAGCAATAAGAGAACCCCTCTATTGTACAGAGTTCCAAAGACAACTAAAACATAGAATAGTGGAGCTAACTTTGAATGGCAACATCGATTCAAATTCAAATCCATGGCAACAAGTAACATGTAAGCACTTGTCTCAGCTGAACATATCCATAACTAAGACCCTACATGGACGTTCTGCTCCACCGTGGAAAATGTCGGACCTAAGTGTATTTTATACGACTGCCCCAAAAAAAGACAGTGTCCTCCTGCTGTACTTAAGCAGTATGCTTTAGCAATTATCAATGAGCACCTTGAAACTATGCCCAATGCGTATGAATGCTACACTGATGGATCCTTGCAGTCTGGGAGTCGTATATAAAAACAATATTTTGCAGCACCAGGATTGTAGGCGGGTTCATGACTGGGCTAGCACTACGCAAACTGAGTTGGCAGGAATGCTCATAGCCACCGAATTTCTATTAAGTCAAGGCTCAGGAGTCATTTTCTGCGACTCACAGAGTGCTCTCCAGGCACTGAACACACTAGACAAAGGTGCAGGAAATATTGCAAATGACATAAGGATAAATGTGTATCGTGCAAAAGAACGAGGCCATGATATACGTTTTGTGTGGATACCATCGCATGTTGGAATCCCAGGCATGATCATGCTGACCGCCTAGCAAAATTAGCATGTGACAAGCAAAGTGTTGATATAGATCTTGGAGTACCTCTTGCTAGGATTTCACACATAATTAAAACTTCCTTCAAAGAGGACTTGTCTGACTTGATTAATTCTCAACGGCCTGAAAGCTGTAGCATAAAGCACTATGACAGGTTTATGCAAGATGTTTTCATCTATGGTTTATACAAAACAAGAACAAGACAGTGTGATATTGTGACCGCAAGAATCAGGCTGGGATATAGATTGTACTGGCAGGTCAGTACAGCCTGTAATGTTGAAGAAACGAAGTGTAAATTATGCAATGAAGAATATAAGCGAACACTTGTACATTATATCTCAGAGTGCCATGTAATACAGCCTTTCAGACCACCTAGCATGAGGTATGGAGAACTATGTAACTACTTCATATCATCTGATGTCTTGGAAGATATAATTATGTTATATCCTAAATTTGGAATGTAGTATCACATGACCACATATCAAATGTTACATTGCCTTTCCACGCCCAAGCCGTATGCCGGCTTGACAGATGAGTAGATAAATTACTGATCGTTCTTTTCCTTTAAATGATATATTTTAGACCGTAATAATTTTATGATATAGATTTATTCTGTAATACTATTATATAATGCTTTGACCATGTATCAAATGTACTACAGCTTGCCCACGCCTGTGCAGTTAGCCAGGGTGGTAAATAAAGGACTAAACTAAACTAAAATTATTTTGCATCAGCAAGAGTACATTTATCTACATTCTTGCACCTGTACCAAATTAGAGATTGTATAATGGGAGAATTAGGATTATATCAAATAATTCGTTTGTGGGACTTTATTCACAGATGTTATCCACCTTTTAACTGAAAACATTTTAGATCCTGAATTATTGACGAAATTTTGAAGATAACATGACGGGTTAGCATGCACTCCAAATTGGCGTTGGACAAAAAATAGAACTTCGGTTGTTGCTGGAAAAATTACCTGTGCTACTATGAGCCTGTCTGACGCGTCCTCTGGCGCCAGGCCAGGCACCATGGGACCCTGCGTCCGATAGTCATGCACGAACTTGTTGCAGTCTTTCTTGAACTGCGCCACGTTGTGGATGAGCTCATTTCTTCGAGGGAAGGTGAATTACATATTGTAATGAGACACTTGTAGTGCAGTAACTGTGAGCCTACATTTCTACAAAACTTATTCCCATTGGTAATATACTTTTATGAATTGTATTTTCATTTCTTCTTGGCATGCTTTATACACTGAATGTTGACTCTGACTCTGAGACATAATCAATGATAGCACTCTTATTAGTTTTTTTTATATTTGACCAGACAAGGTAACTGATGACTAACCTGAAGTATGGCTGTACGCGAGAAAGCAGATTCTGCACCTCTACAGCCTGAGCAAGGACCTTCTGCCAAGTGAAACGCAGGTTGTCCACTTTCTCAGCTTCTTCTTGAGAAAGTCCCAGTTCGTATTTGACAAGTAACCCAAAAGATTCCTAGAAATAAAGGTAACCTGTTCATCAGCCTCTTCCTCTGTCGATCTATAAATCATTTTTTCCCATCTATATCATGCTTTCTCGATCTATCTATGCATCGCTCTCTTTCACTGTCGATCTATACGTTCCTCTTTCTCTTACCTCTCTCTCTCCCTCTCCACACTCCATGTGCATGTGCATTTATAGGCAAACGTATGGAACACATTACCTCTATAGGTTCTATAGCATCGTCCATGTCAAGTTCGAGGTCACGTGTCTTGCGCAGGATGTCAATCGCACCCTTAATGTCGTCCAGGTCTTTAAGCGGCCGCTCCAGTCGCCGGGAAAGTTCGTTCAGCTGAGCGAAAAGTCTTTCCATTTCCTTCATGTAATTGACCTTCAGCGCCTCACCGAACTTATCCACCCATAGGGACGCTTCCTCTGCTAGAGCCTTCTTCAGGTTCTCTGTGAAAAGCAGTTGCCATAGAGTGGTTCAGGTATGCAAGAGAAATAATTATTTGCAGGCTATAGAAGCAATATAAAATAAACTAAAAGTATATCTGTGGTTAGTTTATCGCTCTGTAGCATTATGACAAGAAACTTTCATCACAAAAGGAAGAATCATGGCGATTTTCTGGAAAAGGATTTTACTCCTTCCCCTAACCTGTATTGAGGGCAAGAGCCCCAACCCGATAATGGCATTCTTCTGCATTGATTTGCTTTTCTAATACGATATAACTCTTCATTGTCTTATCGTAGTCTTGGACAGATGGTGCGAGCGAAATGAACTCTTTAATTGCAGCGTCTTTGTCGACTCTCCATAGATGATGATATTGTTCCCAAATATTGAAAGTGTTATGAACCTCCTATTTGGCAGGATGAAAATGAAATACAAAGGTGAATATTCGCATATACATGGCAAAGTAAATATGAAATTATATATATCTTTATTTTACAATACTTTTCTTTGTAAAAACAATATTGTATAATTTTGTTTTTACGTTTAACGAATTCTTATCTAAAAAGGGTGCTGTCATTGTCAAGAAGCTAAAACTTACATTTCTAGTTGACTGGAAAGAGTTGGACATGTGGCTCATGACTT